TTAACTACCATCAACAGATACTGTGGGTGAAGTTCAAGGAATTGTTTGACTTTTACAAATTTTCCCCTGGATGTCCAAATCTTGCTCTTGTGGACCATGTATGTGAGCTTCTGCCCCTTGTGTGTACATTTAATCATTGGATCATTGTATATGTCAAATTTAACTTTTTTTCTTTTTCTGTAGGATGGAGGCAAATACATGCAAGGACGAAAACATTACAATAGGCTTCTTCAACCCGATGACCTTTAACTCCTGCACAGTGGGCTTCACAATGAGGACAGATGCTATGTGCGGCTCCATTCTCGCCCAGGATGATAAATCACTAATTCTGCTGCCATACAATGACGGGTAAGCGAGTAATTCATTTACTTAATTACGTGTACTAGGTGGGACTCTAATCTGCATTTGGTTTTCTTTATTGCAGCGAACATACTTGCCTTGTTGCTGTAGACCTGCTCAATTCCAAGCTCTTCGTGTATGATATAAGTAGGAGGGGAATGAACCATATCAAACCCTTCAAAAAATGATGAATAAGTACAGCTCTCGTTCCATGCATTTTACAATGTGGTTTCGTAGATCTCATCATTTATATGTAACAAATTTTTTGTCCGTCACAATGATCATTCTGCTGGATGATGGCAGGGCTTACGATAAGTACAAAAAGAAGAGCAAATTCAATGTTCTTTCCTGGAATGATGGGTTCAGAGTAACGGAGGTCGATACAATCGCAAGGCAACGTCCTGGTGATAGAGATTTTAGTGCGCTCTATGTAATGCATTACATGAATGGGATCATCAAAGCCACGAAACACAAACAGGTTCTTATTATACCAACACACAAATCTCTACTGATTAAATTAAACAATGTGCTCCATGTTACATTACTACAATGTTGTCTTCTTGTAGTCTGTGCTGCTATCAGATACAAGGGAGCTGACCACTCGAGACATATTTGCGCTTCAAGAACGCCTGGCTACTTTTATCCTCGATGAGGCCATACATAGAGACCACACAGTGTGTTAATTATCAACAATAGTTTAAATCCTGCATCTCTGTATCCTAGCTACTACTGTTAACATATCGTCTATTGTCAAAAGTACTCTTGTATGTGAACGTATTATATCAATTTGACAAATATATCTGCATGTTGTTTCATGTAGCTATTATGGTCCATCTTAATTAATAATTATTGTCAATACCGGATACAATACCATTCCGTAACGGTCTCCGTTTTGTATTGAACCGCCATTCTTGTGTTGTCAACACCACCGCATCATATGACTATGCGACTATGAAGAAAGCCTCATCACCGTCGCACTGTACCATTACCCGGTGGCGGAAGTCATCAGCAACAACGCCAATCCAACTTATGATGCGGCGGGATCACAAAATCATCACCGCCGTCTCGATTAGTAAATCGACACCGAGTACATCCTCATCAAGGTTGGATCATACTACAAGGCGACGGTGGTAATGCCATTCAAACAGACGAGTAATACATCAGAGCGGCGGTGATGATATCCTCCACACAGGTGGGTCATGGTACAATGCGACGGAAACAACGACCTGATCATGGACGGATCATAAGCCAATACGGCGGTGTGAGTGTACACCCACACAGGCGGGTCACGCTCCGATGTGACAGAAACAAGGACCTAATCACAGACGGATCATAAGCTAATACGGCGGTGTTAGTGTATACCCACACAGTCGGGTCGTGCTCCAATGCGATGGAAGTAAGGACCTTATCACGGATGGATCATAGGCTAATATGGCGATGTGAGTGTACACCGCAGACGGTCTCAGATAGCGACGGTGAAGGCTATGACCATCACTGCCGACAACTTACTGCCGAGACTGAAATTAGATTGCGATGTGGGTTATGACACGGCTGTGAAAGGTGCGAGTGTAGTAGTGATGGCCACACCTGTCCCCAACCCCATGTTGGCACCAACCCCATTTGTCATGGCCACTACTGCCTCGCCCCGCCATGATGTAATGGATGTTTTGATGGCTACAGTGGGAGTAAATAGCCTAATAAAAATTTTCTTGTAAGGCATGACACTAGGCAAAACATTAGTGACAAATGAGGCCCTCATAAATATATGGCTAGCTAGGTTTTGCAAGTATATGGAGAGAACAACTACACAATTCTAGTGATCAAGATACTAGATTAAGCTAAGTCACTAGAATTGAAATACTAGCTAGTTCAGCACCCCTAGGATGACAAGTCCCACTATTTCTACTCTATGAATTGTAAGAACACAGTGAATTGCACAAGAGCAGAGTGATCAAACCACAAGAGGAATACACAAAGATATATCTACGTGGTTTGTACTTTCCGGTCACCTTTGTCTAGGTTGAGGCAAGACTAAGAATCACCGCCTCTCTATTAAGACTCAACCCTGCAAGGCTGACTCCTTCACTTGAGGGCTTGATCTTTAGGCTGGCTTGATCGCATCTCCAAGCCTCTATTCCACTAAAGTTGCTCTTTTCCAACTCCAGTGAGGGTGAGCATAAGCACCTCTCCACAATTCACCTCTAGAACACCTCACAATCTTCAATTGAGTGCTTCAACAGAGTCACCACTGCTCCTGGCCGTCTAGGTAGTGACAACCACCAAGAGTAACAATAAAACTCGCAATCAATGCAATCACTAGTGCCACTAGATGCTATCTCTCAAAGCAAATGCAATAGATCACTCCAGTCTCACCAAGAAGGCATCTCTAGCAAGCAAATGATAGTTGAGTTGTTACTTAAGCTCTAATAATGCATGCGCGTGTGTGTATCAGCAATGGAGTCCAAGAGTTCTCACATGCCACACCACACACTCTATTTATAGCCTCACTCAAGAAACTAGCAATTACAAGCTTGGGACAACTTTCACGAGGTCACCGAGGTTGCCACCGAATCTCTCTCAATGGCTATTGTTGAAGCTCTCCAAGCTCCGATGTGTGCTTTTTGGAGAGCACCTGATAATTCTGGTGAGCACAAATTCCTTGTGCGCGCAAAAACACCCTCTCTAGAAATTTCTTTGAGTGCTAAGCTCCGATGCCTATATTTAAACTTCCTGTGTTCGCCACATGTCAAAACCTGAGGTCCAGTGGTTACCTCTCCAGTGCCGCTAGAAGGTTAGGTTGTTGCCTCGGCGATATTCAACAAGGTTAGGACTAGTGCTCTAACCTCTAGTGACCTAACATCTAGTGATCACCGAAGGGCTCCGGTGGATGATCTAATTGAGCCGATCACAACCACGCAAAAATCTGATGGGTGCACTCTAGTGCCCACCAGAGAGCTGGTCTTCTCAAACCTTTTCTCCGATAGTTCTCCTACGGGATGGCCATCAACTTTGGCACTGAGTTAGCATTGCCAAAACATTTTTAAAAAGCTTTTCACTTGCTTCTCACCATGCCACTTGATCTTAATGCACATGCAAGGTTAGATCTCACCTACTGGTACTAGATAACTGTATTAGCAATGAATTTGCCCTTCTTTACTGTACGGCTATCTATCCTATCAACCCGACCATTCATCTTTTCTAACCACCTCATGCATATCCTTTTGCCTTGGACTTTGTTTTCCATCCTTTGCACTTCCACCATCCATCCTCTTCAACACTTCACTTGTTGAGCCTTTGCACCACATGGACTTTGACATCTCCTCCATGGCCTTCATGTTGCTTGACTTCAAACTTGTAGACTAATCATCACCTTTCATACCACATAAAACATATTAGTCTACTAATTCAATTACCCATACCAAAATTGGTCTTTCACATGGCTCTGGTTTCACCCTCGCCCCTCGCTCGCCATGGCCACCCTTGCCCTTGCTCACCATGGATCCCCCCTTCCTGATGTGTCTGCCGTCGATGGCCCCGTCCCCATGCGACACCCTTGCCCGATACATTCACTATTGTTTCCCCCTACCTATGCCACCCGCCCTCGCTTAGCGTGTTCGTCGACGCCCCGCCCGTCGCGACGTGAAGAAGAGGAGGCACGAACAGAAACTCATGGTGTCGAAAAGGGACGATATAGTCTACTCAATTTTTGGGACGAGTTAGACCTGAATCTAGAAAGAATATTCTCTTTTGGGGAGGACTACATCTCCAATGTCCCTAATCAAACACCAGGATAAAATAGGGTATCTCACCTTGTCCAAATTCCGCCCCCAAACGAAACACCAATTTTCTTTCACGTAAATTGTTATTTGTTAAAAAAAAAAAAAAAAAAGCATTCGCAAGTTTCAAATGTGCCGTAGCCCATTTTTCTCTAGAGGGCCCAGCCCAACTATGAACGTTTGACAATTATGGAGGAAAGCAAAGCCCTGTGCGCTGCGCCCCCATCCAGATCCAACCTCTGTCTTGGTTTCTGTGCTTCGATAATGCTGGAGGCTGGAATCATCTAACTCGGAGCTAACGACGACTATAACGCTCAGTTGTCCAAGGTGTTGCTGCTCTCGCCGCCGCCACCGTTCACATACTGCACTCCATCGTCACATACAAGCGGGGCTAGAGTCAGGAATTATACATGTAACAGCTAAGCACAGCTCAAGTGGTTAGATTCCTCATAGTGATCTTTTGGGTTAAATCATCGACTTGATATGGTATGCTCGTATTCAATTCTAGCGTTGTGATGATGAGAAAGAACGCGTCCTCTTCTCTTCTCGCACATTTATTGGAGTCTGTAGCAATGGCCTTGTTCGCCTAAAAAAAAAGTAAAATGCATTAGGCCAGATCGGAAATGCTCCACAAGCTTTTGAAGGCTTGACGATGCCAAGGCCCACTACTTGAAAGTTGAAACTGACAGTTCGTGGCAAATTCCAGACCTCAGGAAAATGAGGATTGATGAAGAAAACAAACAGGGGCAACAGCAACACATCGAAGCGATAAGGCCATGGTCACCGAAGGCAATTTCTACCTCACGCTTCAAAGCAGCATCGGCTGCTGCTTTTCACCGCAGCTGCAGCACCACGACTCACGGTGCGCCTCCGCACGCACTCCCAATGGCACCCAGCGCCGGCGGCATCAGAGCCTGCTCGCCAGACCTCCCATCAGCCCGGCCAAAACTCGCAAATTCGACGAGAAGACCACGCGCTTATTCCGCTGCCAGTGCGCTACCGAGACTCCCACGGCGTCCGTCGATCAGACGCGGAGCCGGGGCGGTAGCATGCGCCCGCGGAAGCGAGCAGCAATCCTCCCCGGCCGTCGCGGCAAAGGCGCGGCCCGAGCCCGACACGCTTAGCGTCGAGTTCCGGACGCGGGACGGCTGCCGGCTCGGCATCGCCAGGTACCCGGACTTCGCGTACAACGCGCAGGGCGGCCGCGGCGTGGGCGCCGGGCGCGGGGCGAAGAGCGGGGAGGATGGCACGGTACTCGTCGACTTCGACGTGGCGACCCTGTACATCCCGTCCATGTCCGGCGCGACGACCAGGTTCCTCGGGCTGCCGCTACCGCCGTTCCTCAAGATCGACATCTTGCCAGAGGCACTGGGCGGAACCATCGATCGAGCCACTGGTCAGGTAACCGTGCGTCTCCTGCGATCCTGTCTTATCTGCATCCACGCAAGAATAGTTTTTACCTATTATTACTACATATTTATTTCTTCTTTGTTCTTCTTCTTTCTAAAGAGCAATAGAAGATTAATCCCGTGGTCTAGTTAGTACTTAGTACCAGAACTCAGAATATGTGACGAACAAGATCAAAAGTCTTAATGAAATGCTATTGACAAGCATTGCGCTGATGTTCCTATTTTGAAGGTTGATCTCAAGTTCAGGTCGAGGTTCTGCTTCTCGGTTGGGAGCATCTACAAAGCGCCGCCGTTGTTCGTTGAGACATCACTGACCTCCGAGGAGTCGAGGGGAGCCATAAGATCCGGCACTGGAGAAAGAATGGACGAAGAAGGGAGATGCAAGCTGGTTGGGGTGGCCGTCGTCGACCCAATCGATGACCTCTTCATGAACACATTTCTCAGCCTGCCGACCGAGTGCATTGCTTACTTGAATGCCACCATTTCCATAGCCACAGCGAGATGATCGTCCTTATTGCTGGTCTACATTGCAAATGCGCTCGCGAGTTTCTTTTCTTGTAAAGATTAGCCAAGGCTCAGCCATATGGCTCCATCCATGCTCCAATTCAAATGGGAAGCCTGAAGTACACCACCATCGATCATCATCGCTAGCCCATTGACATTATTGGGGTGTATCATACGTGACCGAATCCCTTTGTGTGTAAAATGAGCATATGTATAAACATCTAGGGGTCTAATTACAAGAGTCAAGTTTTTAATTTCGGTATTGATTTTTTTTTTGGCTACCCCCAAAATTATTGAAATTCACGAAATTTCGCTGGAGTTTTTTAGAGACTTAAGCATGAAGTATGGTTTTCAAAAAAAAAAAGATGTAACAAAATATTAGAATGATTTATGACTACACACCTATTGAGTAGAAGAATATTTGCAACATAAACAATAGAAAATATGAGTCTAGAGTTAAATATAGCGCATATATATTAGTATAATGCGAAATTTTAGAATTTTCTTTTGGCCACCACCAAAATTATCGAAATTCTGCGAAATTTTGGCGAAAACACCGAAATTTTGAACCCCGCTGAAGACTTATTTGCAAATCTCAACCCCACCAACCATCTTTCCCTATAAATATAGTCCTATAGCTCGGAGGAGGGGATTTTGTGTCCTCTCACTCTTCTTCTCTCTATTGGGGTCATCACCAATAGATAGCACCCACCAAGCTCGGCTCACCGGCTGAGGTAAATCATTTTTTTGGAGAGAAGGAATTCACAAGGAGAGCTTCACTTTTTTGGTTTTCGTCCATGCCTACATCGCCAGCTTAGTCCGAACCATCAGATGAAATGGCTACCGGCCAAAGACTTTATCATCCCGAGCAAATCGAAGGATTTAGTTGGTCCTGGGTTTTAGAGTTTTGTTATTGCCTCCAAGTTTTTCAAATAAGTTGCCTCATCTTGACTTCATAAACATTTCACAAATATTACGTCTAACACAGAGAGCACGAACGATCCGACCTCTAGCATTAGGTCGAGTGACAAGATGGAATCAACAATCTGCGCAACCGCGGTCGTGCCGCCTGCAACAGCATTCAACAAGACGGGGGAGATGTTGCCATCTACCCTTGAGCAGAGCAAGCCACTAGAGCATTGCCTCGGTGACCCGATCTCTCCGAGGCATCCAACTTCATGCTCTTACGATCTCATCACAAAGCTCGGATCCTCATTGAATGAGAGGTCGCCCAAGTCGCTGAGAGTTCCATTATTTTCCGAACCAGATCGACGGCTACTCAAAGTCGGTGCTCACGCCATGACGCCACGGTCTAGCACAACTCGACACCATGACAGGACTCCTGCAAGAGGTCCATCAACGTATCGGGAAAAACCGCGACGCTCGTGACATGATCAACGCTGGGCACAACGCCTGCAACAACCTCGAATAGGAACGCCGCCAGGAAAGACGAAGCCATGAACAATGCAGGGCAACCCATGATGATGACGATGGCTGAAAAGACTACCAAAACCACCCTTCCGGACGGTAACACGGTCATCACGATCAGGCTCACCACAAAAATAGAGACCTTAGAAGATAAATGTCTCAGTGTCTACCCTCACCGACAAAGCCTAGAGGACATCCATAGCCTGACCTCCAACCTGATTTAGACCAGAGGCCTTCGGATACCGCATCCTAGCGCTCTTGCTCCGGCCAACTTCTGAGCTTCGCACAACTTTCCAATGTATGATGGAACACGAACTCGAAGAATTGGCACAACTTTCCAATGTATGATGGAACACGAACTCGAAGAATTGGTTGGAAGACTACCAATTGACTATGAGGACAACAAACGTTGAGACACCCTTTACGATGCTCAATACCTCTCCCTCTACCTCACCGCCTCGGCCCACTCGTGGCTTGAGCACATTTAGGGTTGGTCCGATCTGGAGAACCTTTTCGTAGACAACTTTGATTGGGCCCATAGCAAGCCTGACAACTCACGGCAGCTGTTGGGCTGCAAGCGCAAAAAGGAGAGAGATGTGTGCCAGTACAAGTATACAACTGGAGTACACGACGAAGACGAAAGAGTCAATACAATCAAATAAAAAAAAAGTTTGCAACCCGCTATTTGCGTGGTTCATCTTACCAGCGTTCCCGATCCCGACTCCTCAGCCCTGAGACCCAAAGTCACACAGCAACTTCTAGTTCTAGGTATGCAGCGGCGGCACGAACCCGCGGGAGGACTGGGTAAAAAAGAGAGAAATCGCTGTGATTCTGTGAGCTGGCGGTTGGCAGGGGCACTACTTTTGTTGGGTTGGGAATGGCACTTGCGGTCCGAGCCGCCCGACCCAGAGGAGTGAGCGCGACAACGAGTAAACGAGTGACCGTGACCCGTCAGCCACTCCGAGCTCTGAAGTGACGTGAGACCTCACTATGCTGTGGACCGCGTATTCGCTCCCGCGGCTTGCCAGCTGAGGCCACTACGGCGTTTCATTGACATCGTCAAAGCCTTTTTCCGTTATCTGGATGCCCGTACCCGTCATCATCAGCTCCAACGCAAACCACGAGCTCGCACTCTGTATAACGCAATGCAAGGCGAATGTTCTCTTCATTAAAAAAAGACCGGTGCTCCTTAAGACCCTCTTTATAACAATGCAAAGACATAGGAATAGAGAAATATATATATAAAAACCTGCAGGAATACCGTTGTAAATAGAGGATTGAAAACATAGCAATTTTGAAGGAACAATTGTTTGGATAGGCCGTAGAAAAAAATATATGAATTTTACCAAGAGATTTCAGTAGATCCTAACTTTCTTATATTTTCCTCCAAAATACTCTCATTCCAAATTATAAGCCATTTTGTTTTTTTATAAGTAAATAACTTTCGTTATTTATCTAGATATACGTTATGTCTAGATATGTAGTAAAAATTATGTGCCTAGAAAAGACAAAATAACTAAAATTTAGAATAAAGGGAGTAGCAACCAAAAGAAAAATTCGTACACTATTCACCTCCCTAGAGCTAAAATTAAGGTTTATGAACAAAAATCACACTCCAACAGTCCCCCTATTCAACATCCAATGTTTAGTGGTATCCTAAACTACCCTCTCCCCCTCTTAAATTTTGAGATGTCATGTTGTCCACCATATATATTATTTGAGATAGGGTAATTGTTGGAGAGAGAAATATTTAGAGATTTTTTTTTGTTAGAATGTACTCTATATATGAGGATTTAGGGGAATTAAGTTAAGGAGAACTGTTGAAGATAACATAATTGGTGGTTACCTACCTCTGCACACCCCTTATTTTCTTTCTTAAGAAAAAGGAGCTTTAGCTTTCGGTAATAAAATATGACTCAAAGTATACATATCAAAATACAGCCACCGCATTATGATTTACCGTGTAGCAATGTAGCATTACAGTAAGGATTTGAACCACATGAACTTAGAGCAGTTTGAGTTTCATGATCAGGTGCGTGGGTACCAGGTTTTCAGAAGGATTATAGTTTCTGATCCCTGAAACAAGCCAAGTTCTCAATGCAGCATCAATAATATACCATCAGGCCATTCCCAAATCCATACATGAAGCCCCATGCTTTTGCGGCTTATTACAGGTGCTGATGACACTCTGAAGACCGTTACCATGCATGCATTATGCAGTTACATCTCTAGCTCCAAATTAAACGACCAAACTGAGAAAACCCAGTCTTCTGCTTCTCCTGATTACCCTTCATCAGAAGAGCAGGGTACATTAACACTACAGAGTACGGACGAACTGAAGGGAAAGGGCAACCAGTACATTTCACCGGCACTAATTCTTCCCGAGGCTGTACAGGGAAGTTATTTGCCCAATGCAAGTCAGTAGCTTGCTTCAAATGCGCGCCATCGGTCATCAGTAGCTCCAGAGCTTGACCTCACCATCGTCATCATCGTCGCCGCCACTGGTGAACGAACCAGCCATCGGTGGTGGATCAATGAGCATCCCTTGCGCCATGTCGAGGTACCCCTGCATCCCGAAGTCGAGCCTGTCATCGATAATGCAGTATGGGTCGTCATCGACGCCCTGCGTCGCGCTAGGCAAGGCATCCAGCGGCGCAGTATCTGCCGCCTCCTCGGCTGCCACATTGCCCTGATCAGGCGCCGGCCGGAACTGCTCCGCCGCCACGGCGGCCGCCCGGCGTATCTCGTCATGCCCGGAGCCCATCGGGGGCACCCTGAGGAGGCGCGCCGAGTCGGCGAAGTTGAGGCAGGCGGCGCGGCCGCGCAGCGCGAGCGCGGCGACGTCGTGCGCGCGCGCCGCCATCTCGGCGGTCTCGAAGGTCCCGAGCCATATCCGCTGCTTGCCGTGCGGCTCCCGCACCTCGCAGACCCACCTCCCGGGGTTCCTCCGACGCACGCCCTTGTACACGGGGTGCCGCGTCTCCTTGAACTTGGTCCGCCCGGCTCGCCGCTTGGGCGGCGCCGACGACACCGTCATGTACGACGAGGAGGAGCCGTCGTCGCCGGCGGCGCCGCCGACAGGGGACGGCGTCCCAGAGGAGTAGTCGCTGAAGGAGCCGGCGTCCATGATGGCTGCAGCACGGGAGTGGTGGTGGCCGTGGCGAGCAAGGGGAGGAGGAACGAGTCGGAGCATTTGATTTGAAATTTGGAGGGAAAGGTGGCGGGTTATATAGGTTAGCGCGTGGAGAGCGACGTGGCCGCGTGCCTTGTTCCCACGCGGTGCGGCTCGGGAGGCGCCAGCCAGGTAGTGCGACTTGATGGGTCGGGCGGCTCGGGACTCCGGGAGAGAGGAGGGCTCGTCGGGCTCGAAGGGTTAGCTGCTGGGTCGGAACCAGCTGGAGCTCGCGGGGCCGGGGACGGGGACGCGCGGGACGCGCAGGCATGGGATCCAAGTGGGCCACCTGGGCCTCCCTCGCTGCTGTTGGGCGATAGCTTACTAGTAGGGCTCCTCCGCTGACGGCGACGTGTGTTGAAAAGGCGTGACGCCAGAGGGGACGGAGTGAGGGGCTGAGGGCCGGTAGCTTGGGCTCTGTTTGTTCGGTTGTCATTGTAAGTGTCCATTTATCTTATCCTATTTTTTTCTCTCAATAAATTAGCCGTATAAATCAGCATAAACGATTTATAGACAATCTAATTTGTTGCGAGAGAAAAATAATGTAGCATTGATGCGCACTCGTGCGAGACGGATAGCGTGGGATTCTCTGTACGCCGTACGCGCTGGACCAGTGCAAGTGATCGGATGGGGCCACGCAGCACGCAGAGGATCCCACTCCACGGTTAGGCGGCAGTTATATTGGACTTGGTCTCGGGGTTTCCAGATCACCCATGATGGTACGACGAGGGAGAGCGACTCGGCGTATCGCTGGCGTTAGGCTCCGGCATCCCAACGTTTTCAACCGGATGGATAAATGGCGACCGCTGGCTTGGCAGGCAGTGCACGCCCGCAAGTTGCGCGCCTGCCGTGCTGCTAGAGCGTCGCCGTGGAAACCCGCGACTTGGCTTCTGCTGAAATCCAACCTATTCCCGTGCCCCGTGGATTGCTCGTGACGGAGTACATACGTAGGAGCGTACTACTATTTGAATTCTTCTCGTCGTGGACTTCCCATGTATGAATTCTCAATTTCTTCGTGGATTATATTTGTCAACGCTGTTCAGTAAACTTCTTCGGGGATTTCTCAACGATGTTCAGTAGAAGCAGCTGCCATATATATATGACAGCATGTTCTAGAGGAATCGGACGAGCTCGCTTGTGTATAAGTGTAGTGACTAAAGCTTGAATAGAGGAGTGTTGGAGATTTCTTTTTCTTTTGTTACTCGTATGAGACGTTTTGATTTTTCTAGATAAAAAAGCTATGTTTCTAGAAAAGACAAAAGGGTTTATAATTTGGAGTAGAGAGAGTAGAACATATAGTTATTCCCGATTGAGAAAAAGGTGCTCTGCCTAAAGGAGCAAATAAAAGAGTGTACCACCATGAAATAAACACTGTTAGCGGTTTATAATTATTTTCACCACTTAAGCGACTTAGAATATGTACAACACAAGATGCTTAGGGAGAGAGCGAGAATCACTACTAACTTCTAACCCTTGCGCAATGACGAAAAAACGTTGCAACAGGCTCAATTTGGTTGCAAAAGGTAGATGTTGCAACCAAATCACGTTCGTTGCCGATGGTTGCAAAAAGTCACGTTGCAATAAGGTATTACAACCATTGCTAGTTTGGCGTTGCAAGTGTTGGGGTTTCTTGCAACCATAGGTGTCCGTTGCCAAGCATGGCAATAGGACATTGACGCAACGTTCACGGTCGTGGCAATATAAGCACTTGCCACGCCCGTCTTCGTAGCAAGAGGTGGTACATGCAACGATCGATAGCGTAGCAATAGAGACAATTTGCCACGAACAATGTCGTTGCAATAGTCTGTATTGCACGCTAGAATTTTGTTGCCTAAGGTGTTATTGCCACGACCGTTATGCCGTGGCAAGTACACCGTTTGCCACGCAATTTTATTCGTTGCGAGAGATCATACGTTATTGCCACGGTCGTTGTGCCATGGCAATAGTATAATTTGCCACGTAATTTTATTCATTGCCATAGATCATATTGCCACACAAGTGAGTTCGTTGCCATATATCATATTGCCACGCATAGCAGCTCGTTGGCATAGTTTGTATTGCAACGCTGGTAGCATTTGAATTGTGGTTTAATAAATCATCATTGCAAAAAAACAATAAACCATAACAAAAGCGATTGCACTCACATATATTACTTATAACCAATCATTCAATAAGTTGACAAAGCATTGAAATAGTAGCTAAAATCTTAAACGAGTGTACAGTTCACTCATTATTTCACAACTTTTTAAAACTTGCAGCAGTACAAGAGTTCCTAACATCTATGTAGCACCTCAAGGTTTTCCTAGCAGCAACATGTGATCACCTTGGCTATGTCCTCGTTTGATTATCAGCCTCCCACTTAAACCTTGTCCACCTACTGACCAAAAGAATAAGATTGGGATATTAGCAAAATATTAGGTTTACTACGTCATGCACAAAATGTAAAGAGATTCAGATAGAACATGATTGTAATTAAGCAAAAGAAGAATTAATCAAAACTATGGAAGGAGTGCTGTCAATTTAATTAAGCAAAAGTAGAACTAAAAAATAAGAAATGCTATAGATACAACCATTTTGCTGTCAAAGTATCTTAATTTTTAAGGCAGCAGTAGTACAGTTGCTTAGAAAAATCATAACTACAGTTCTAGACAATGAAAAATTATATTCTTTAACAATACGGAAACCCCATGAAATTTTCTACATCATTCTAGTTATTTGTAAAATCAGATTCTTAACTTATCAAGGTCGAAAATCCAAAAGGCCCACTGCTGTGCAGAGGAATTAGGTCAAAACCTGACAGGCTACATCTAAAATTCATGACTCCCAATTCTCCAGGGCTAAAATCATGAACTTTCACGACAACAAACATATCTAAAGCCTCTACAACTTTGGTATTATCAAGTATCACAGAAAAGGTAATTTACTACATGGAATAATTCACCCAATCAGAACTGCACAAGCTGCAGTTTTCAGCACGTATGATAAATGTATTTCCTACATTTCCTAGTTCTACAAGGAAAGTTACATTTGATAAACTTTCAGAAATTGATGCAAGAGTGCATGACATCAAACAGAGTTACTAACTAGGAATGGTGAAACAGAATTAAATCCTTAACTAATTATTTACATATTTGGTGTAGGTGCAACCTTTCTTGCATTAGATGTGTCTAATAAGCATGCAGGGACAACAAAGATAAATGCAGATCAATGTCTCAATAAATTGCAGATTGGTGCACTCTGTATTTAAGAACACAGCAAAACAAGAATTACACCCAAATCATATATATTTCTCATGGCATGGTAGTGTTAGTGCAGGTCTGTCCAGAAAAGAGTTATGATAAAATGAGCACAATTTAGTTTCCAATTAGCAGATAACATATTGTAGTTGTTACCTTCTTCTTTTTAGGATTTCTTGTTCTATTCATCAGCTGCTGTTGAGTGATATATGTCTTCGGTGCTGCCACATTTGCAGCGTTTTCTTTGAAAAGATTTCTGCTGACAATAGTAGTATTTTTACTGGAGTGAGTAGTAGGTGGTGCAGCATCTTTTTGTACGGTGACAACGCTTCCTGGTTGTGTCTACAAAGATTAAATTGTTCAATCTGTTTTAGCTAGACTTTAAGGTACATAGCTCAAGATTACTTGGAACATAGTGCAATAATGTCATTACCTGTTGTAACGCATCTTTATTTTCATCATTTGCATGTTCACCAGTCTCATCGTCCTCTTGTGTGGTGGGTGCAATTTGTATGTTGTCATTGTTTTGCGGGGTACTCTACACATACAAATATTGAGGTAAAAGATTAGGCATTATAATCATAAGTTTATTAAAAGGACGAAGGATAAAAAATTATTCTGAAATATTACCTGATTCATAGTTCCTACTTTGTGATGCGCTAGCATATTAAAAAATCTTGCTTCATTTCTTTTTTTAGTGCTATATTAGCATTTTCCAGATCCTCTTGCATCTGCCTCCTATTTTCTTCTTTCTCCCTTTCCCTTTCTGCAGCTTCGTGCGCAAGCTGATCTTTCGGCTTCTCAACCTCTACTTCATAAGCAATTTTCTTCTCCTTGGCTGCAGCTTTAGCACGTGCATGTACTTCAAGGTTCTTTTTCATAAGTTCTCTGCGAGTTCGATACTTAGCCAAGTATCCATGCCCATGTACTCTGGATGATTTGATCTGTGTGGTTTCTTTGTAGCATGACTGGAAGATCATGTTCTCCTCAGCAGCTGAAAGTGTTTGTCTATCAGGTTCTAACTCAATCTCACCCATTTTCAAGGCTATGTTTTCCTAAATGGAATAACAGAATCTGTTAGAGTTGCTTGACACAACCAGCAGCTATAAAAAAGGCTTGACGAAAGATTTACTCACATGTACTGCAAATGACACAGAATTTGACCATTTGCCCTGTTTTGTGTGAGTGGCCTTCTAAAGAAAATGATCGCTTGGCTCTTCACCAGTTTCTTTGTCTCTCTAGGATGCCAAAATATAATTCAACACACAAGTATTGCATCATACAACGGAAGGACCAGATAAGTGTATCTAATGATTACCAGCTTGAAGCTACACTGGAAGTCCCTCTTGCAATGAACATAAAGAGTCCAGATCTCACCCGTGGCACTGCATACATAGGACAATGGTTGATAAATAAATATGTTAAAAAAGGTGAAGTATTACCCATTGGCACAATCTTAACATAAGCAAGAATAAACATGTTGATCTTGATAGCAGCTCTTTTAATTTTTCAGATCAACTAGAGTTCAACAGATCTGAAAACCTCACAAATATAGCATTCTTAAATTTCACTTTGTCAAATCAAATCAAATGAACCAAAAGAAATAAAGATTCAGTTAATCAGAAGTTGAAATTTTTAAGGAAATTATAATTCAGGAGAATTTATGCTCATGCTTTTTTTGTCAATTAAAAATAACAGGTGTCTCACTTGGCTACTTGTCAAATGCTAAAATTCTTTTCTACTATATGATTACAGCAACATCAAGGCAAGAACTGATTCACTGATTTGGCATATAAAAGAACAGCAAGATTAATAGAAGCATGATTTCTAATTTGGCAAGTTTCAGAATATAAAAGAAAAGGTAGTACTAGAAAAAAATAGCTAATGGATCTGTCAAACAGCTCAAAGCCTCAAACAGAAACTAAGTTTTCCAAACAGTATCACCATCCAATGCCGCGACCTGTACAAAGTGTGGAATCTAATAAACTAAGTACTTAAACTGGACTAAAGCTAGGGATGCAAGCAGGACTACCTGCAGGCGGCCCGCGGATAACTGCATCAGCCGCTAGTATATTTTGCTACTCCTGCAGGTTCCTACTAGTATACAGCTCACTGCCCGCATCCACCTGCTGGGCTTAGCAGCAAAACACATGCAGGCTTGCAGACACCTGCCGGAAGCCTGCTTTCAATTGCGAGCAATGGAAGACCCTGCAGAGGACACAGCACGCTTTGCTTTCTCCGCACCACTGTCTTGTCTGAAAGAATCTAGCGACTGATTTATAGTAGCAATTTCACTGGGCTCCTGATTTGATTAGAAACGCGTCGATGGTTGTCAAGAAAATTTGCCTACGCTTAAGGTTTACTATTGCAGTCCAAAACTAACTTTTATCAGTGCTAACCGACTGCTAATTTTCTGGATCAGCCACTGCAGGCATGGGAGGCTGAGGGGGAGCAAGCAAATGAGGATCACAACTCCACATGTAAAATAACCAATGTTAAGGCCACAAATTAGGAACTTCACATGTAAAATAACCAATTACAGGCCTCTAACAAAAAGAAGCCACTCTGGTCATGACAACGGCAACAACTGAAGAAATAAACAAGGACAGAAGCACCAACAGAACTAAATTAAAGAGCAATGTTTCTAACAATAAATATATAGCGCATCTAGTCAATCAGGGTTGCATCCAAACTATACAGTCCATTTACATGCTAGTCCATATCAGAAAGTTCAAGAACCACAAGAGATCACACGCAACAGCAACACTACAGGATGAAAAGCAAACCATCTGGGAGATCAAGGAAGACTGCTCAGTGGGCTTAAGCCTAAGAGGCATTACAGGTTACTCCCGCTTAAGCCTGCTAGGCAAGCGCAGGTTCCCGCGAAGGATTTTTTGCAGGCTGGATTTAGCAGGTTGCAGGCAAACCTGCACCCGTTTGCATCCCTAACTAAAGCCCCAACAATCTACCTGGTGCTAACAAACAGGAATCTAATAAACTATATGGACGAGAGAACCCATGTTCATCTTCTAGTTCGAGGGTGGCTTCAATATATCGATGGGCGCCCAAGGCGGTGGCGTTGTTGCCGGAGCTGATGCCCTGAGGAGGAAGCGACGTCCTGGCTGGAGGTGACGTCCTGGAAGGAGGCGGCGGCGCCATGGCCCTCATGGAGGCGGCGTCGGGGGCTCCTGGACGGATCGCGATCTAATTTTGGGGGAGGGGATACGAATAGGCAGGTACAGGGGAGGAACCAACGATATATGGCGTTTTTTTCTTTTTTTCGTTTGTGCGCAAAAATTTGGCGCGGTGGGAAACTTTGGAAAATTTTGGGAGGAAATCAGGCACGTGTTGTGGTTTTGAGCCTTCGTTTTGGCGCCTTCACGTGGGTTTTAGGCGGTCTGGCATTTTTTATACACACGATCGTTTTTCAAATAAAACTTTGCATACATACCATTTAAATATATATATATATATATATATAAATACACGTAATTTTTTCAGTAGTACACACAATTAAATTTGGAATTTGTTCCAATCACCAGAGCTCTGCAGCAGCGTAGCGTAGCCGTGGCGGGGCAGTGGGCGGCGGCGGGGGCGAGTAGGACGATGGACAGTGCCATCGGAAGGAGGAAAAAAATCGAGTAATTGCTCACTCGGGTGAGGAATAGATAGATCCTAAAAAATATTAGCAGTATGCCCGTGATAGCGTTACGGTAAAACCCAAAACACGATCAAATTCATGTCATAATTTTATATGGGCAGTTTTTCAAATATAACTTTTGCATACATACAATTTAAATATATATTTACGTAATTTTTTCAGTAGGAGTACACACAATTCAATTTATAATTTGTTCCAACCGACACAAAGAAATTCATTTAATCTATGTCTTTCGGGAAAATTTGGGAGCCAAATTTCTCTCGAGAGGGCTTGTCTCTATAACTAAAAAATGGTAAAAGCCACGGGGCCAGGTCGAGGAAGAGGGAGACCGCGCTAGGGTTTCGCCCGAGCTCGACGGCCGCGTATGCCAGAATCAAAATCAAATGCACAACATATGTATGTCAGGATCAATTTATTCGTACATGACATGAAGCTTATATCAAGGATAGGCTAACTTTGTTTGACACCTGCGCCTAAGCAACACGTTCTAATTTTCTTAATTCCTTTGCACCTAATTACTAGGTGAATTCTGCCTTCTCCTCAGAGAACCAAACCAACACTTGGATTCCATCCAAGCTCCCAACTGAACCAACCATTCCCTTACCAAGGGAACCACCCAAAACGAACCAGAGCCATCTAATCTTGAAGAAGTCCAAGTCGATCTTGTCTGTGAGCACGACTGATATATTGGTTTTACACTCTACAGAGATTGCACACTTTCACCATGAGTCATGTTTTTCACATCACGGTTCACACTACCTAGGCGTTTCGCGGGGTCACACTACAAGGCTATTACAAAGTCCTCCAAGCCTCTTTTACACCCCTCTAAGGTTTCGCCGTGGGTACCAACACCACTGCAAAAGTAGTAGTAGCAATAGTAGTAGTAGCACTAGAAGTAGTAAAAGTAGTAGTAGTTGGAATATTATATTCAAAAAGTTGGAATGTTCAATTTAAAAAGTTAAAAAAAAAAGTTGGAATGATATAAATAGGTTTTCAAAAGTTTTAAATGATGTTGTAATGTTCAATTTTAAAAGTTAAAAAAATATAAAAAAAGAACTAGAAGTGGTAAAAGTAGTAGTAGTTGGAATATTATATTAAAGCCAAAGGGCGTCTAGCTCAATCGGTTAGGTGACCCAGCGGCACTCAGGTTCTGGGTTCGACTTCCCGTGGGAGTGAATTTTAGACCGAGGTTAAAAAAAATCCCTTCGCCCGTCCCCATAACCAAAGCACTGGGGGGGCACCGGCCCAATTCTCACTTGGGCGACGGGAAGCCACCGTGTAAGGGTGGGGGTGTGGGGTTCGTTTTTTTTTTCGGCCGGGTGAGAAGGTCCGTCTTCTTATTTGTAATCTTTCTTTGAGGCGGTCTTAACCCCTTGGTCGAGTTTTTTTTATATTACATTAAAAAAGTTGGAATGTTTAATTTAAAAAGTAAAAAAGTTGGAATGATATAAATAGGTTTTCAAAATTTTAAATACAGTTAGAATGTTCAATTTAAAAGTTAAAAAATATATAAAAAGCAGAGAATCAGACGTGGCCTACAAAAGACCAGTCTCCTCACCAGGGAGCTCAGCAAAGCAACCTGGCCCAAGCAGGTCCAATTATGTGCATTTTTTTAGAATGGCGTATGGTACAGAAAGTTTAATGAGGTTTAGGTGTGTTTGGTTGAGCTGTGGCTGTGAGAAAAAAAGTCTTTGTGTAATGTGAGTCGTGGAAAAGCTCTTGTGAAATTTGTGAGTGTAGAAAAGTTTGAAAATTTGTTTGGTTAAACAAATATAAAATATAACTTCTATCTTTATCTCTCTTGAAACAACTATGGAAGAGCTTTTTATTCCACTAATTTCGAAAAACAGAAAGCCAAAAGCAGAGTCAAAACAGCTTTAAAAAATGTACTACGAAAAAACAGCTAAAAAAGTAGCCTCCAAAAGCAGCCCCTTTGGTTGGGCTCCAAAGCTAAAAGATCAATCAAACGCATCCTCAGTCCCTTCAACTTTTAAGCTACGTTTCATCTCCCTACGTTGGCGAGGTGGCACTAATGTACCAACGTTTGGGCAACAGCCAACACACTACGTCAATGGATCGGCCCACTTCGTTTCCTCAAAACAGTCCCGCACCGGCCATTTCCTTCTCCCGTACACCCTCCCCATCCCTTGAGTTCGTGACCCCCCGCATTCCCCACCCGTGACTCCCACGAGGCACGAGCGATGGAGGCGGCGGCGGATTGAATCCCCCAGGCGGCGACGAAGGTGGCGGCGGAGTCAAGCAGCAAGCGCGGCCACAACACCCGGACCCAAGCGTGCAACTCACGCGGCCAGTTCGCCCCGCGCGCGAGGTGTACCTCGTTCGACTACGACACCGACGTCGACGGCGATCCGGCCACAATGCGGTTGGCATTGGAGGTTTGGGCGACTGGAGGAAAGCGCGGCAAAGGGGCAGCGTCCAGCGAAGGCAAGAAAAAGGTTTTGGTCTCCAGCGCGAAGAGGGGCAAATGGGCGCCTTCCACCTCATCGAAGAAGGTAAGAGCGATTTTCCCCCTTTGGTGCGCTGTGTGAGATTTGGATGCCATTCAGAGTTAGAGTTTCGTGGCTTGGGGGCGATGAGCACGGGTGGTGCCCGGTGCTTGGATGGGGACATAGCAGGGTTGCCGTGACTCGAATAATTCATTACCAAAATAGCCCTTCAAATTAGTAATAGGTTTCTAGACATTTGTGTTACCCATGTCTGTGAAGTTCTTCTACCACCTAAACTAAGCATTCCATAACCTCGATGTCAGCAGTTAGCACCTGGTATTAAGCAATTTTCTTTTTGACGTATGGTTGCTAACTACATTAGTTCTTTTCAATTAACTGAAGCAATGCTATGAATCTAGCAATTTTCTATTTGATAGATATGATTTGCTATGTCCTTAGATCTCAATTATTGTTTGTAGCTATAAGTTTTCTATTAAAGCTTTATGCATCTGTATCCGCATTGATCTATCCTATATAAGTTGAAATCCAAAATCATTTGTAGTTTGTAGTTCGGAAAGGAACCACATGCAAGTCGTGTTGGCATTATACATTCATACTGGTGCAGGTTTTGACTAACTGGATGACAGCTGTAGAACTTGGTTACTGTACTGGGGTTGTATAGGTTCTACTGGCTTGCTCGTGCACCTTAACCAAACATACTGTGATGAAAGGAAAATGAGAGTCCTGTTTCAGTCTCAATTTAGTCATGACAGCATACACAACTATGTTTTATTGTTTCTAAGTGCTTTGTTCAGTAATAACCGTAATTTTTTTAATTGAAGGTTCCCGATGACAGTGTTGAGGAAGACAAGTCTGGGTCATTTGCTTTGTACACGATGACAGTTATGACCTTTCTGAGTTCGAAGAACATCATCATCCTGAAGCCATGGACAAGCTCAAATGGACAATTGAGCTGGCTAAGGACGATGCCAAAGGCTCCATCGATCACTATGCGGACAAGTATGCGAAGAAGGCAAAGCGTGATGTTGAAAACAGATTTGATAAGCTCTACCAGGAGATCAAGCAGAAGTACAAGCCGAGGAACTGAAGTGCATGCTGATATGTAGTTCTCTTTTGGTGTAGTATAAATAAATGCAAGTAGTGCATGCTGATGCTGGTAGGTAGTGTGTTAGTATGTCTGCAACCACTACAACTATGTCGTATTAGTTTATTGGTTGCTCTGATGGGAATATAACTCAGACTTAGTAGTTTGTGGCAACATCTGGCGACACCTGGTAGGTTAGTTTGGAAGAAATAATGTATATTTGGCAAGTGCCATGATGATGGGAACCACTATATGCAATTAATGTCTATGGTGTGCATAACTTGTGTTCAGTTTCCTAAGTCTATGGTGTGTTCTGGAACTGATCAGTGGTCGGTGGATGGATGGATCCATCAAGTGCAAAGAGCAAATCCTCCCATCGTTTGTACCCTTTTCTGCTCCATATAATTACTGTGTTGATAATGTGCCGTCAGATGTTTTCAAGTAATGAGACAGTACTGACGTTGTAAGTTTGTGTTTTTGAAGATTTTATGTGTTCATATATATAATATTATGCTTTGAACATTGGCGTGGAGACATCTTTGTGCACTAGCAGCCCGCATGAGTTTTGGGCCTGTTTGGATGCTACCCTAGAGTAGTTACCTGGATATTTCACCTGCCTATGAGCTGCCTGTTATTGAGTAGTAGAAAATTGCCTGGTCAGACAGACTAGGATTGTTTGGTTTAGATACTGAAATCATGTCTGTGTGAAGAGCGGTGAGGGCACGGCGATCCAGCGGCACCGGCGACAGGGACACCAGTGGCTGTAGCAGTGTGGGGAGGCCACGACGACGCCTGGTGAAAGAGGCGTCTACGACGACGCCTTGGAAAGAGGAAGCGACGATGCCTATAGGGAAGTCAATCGTGCACATGTACGTACACCACTATACCAGATCCGATCCTGTTTCAATACCTAAACGGGTTCTACGTTATTTTGTATATGTTCCTG